AACATCAGGAGTAGCAAGAATAAGAGAGGGAGAGTTAGAGTCCTCGTGCCAAGTTTCAGTAAGAGTAAAAAAATCAGGTAAGGAGGAAGAGATTATTTGATGGATATAGAGCGATTTTTTATTAATTGATCTTATGTTAATATTAAACAGTGAAAATGTAGAGGTAGGTTGAATATTGGTATTTTTAAATCTAGTTATATTATTTAAACTAATAGAATTAGAATTATTATTCTTATCATTAGTATTAATTACATTAGGATTAGAGTAGGATTTAATAAAATTATTATTATTCTTATTATACTTGCTAATAACATTATTATTATTAATATAATTATGGTTACTAACTATATTTATTTTTTTGTTAGAGTTAGATTTATTATTTTTATTGTTATTATTAGACCTAAGATTAAAGTAAAAAATTCGCCGCCGAACTACTCTCGTCGGAGACAAAGGAGTGTTAGAAAGGCTTAAGAGAAAGTCTCTAGAATAAGACATAATAATATTTTCAAGTTAAGGAAAAGATGTTGAAAGATATAGAAAAAAATAGTCATAGTAAAAAAGAAGAGAACTCACTTGTTCAGAAGCAGAAAACAAGAATCCACCCAAATTAAAAAACCACCGAGAAAACGTGCCGCCATCACGCTAAACGTAAATCAGCTAGTAATTAATGTGTGATTGAAAAATCGAAGCGTTGTTGGGCTGAATGGAAGGTTTGCAGTGCGAAGAAGTTTAATTTTTAATACCATTCGTTTACATTTTTTACATGTAACGTTTTACAGATAAACAATGAGAAGTAAAATAGGTCACCTTATTATTTGAGATCTTTGATTCAACATACTTAATTAAAAACACAGTTCAGTATATTTATAAATTTTCTTTTCTTAAAATTGTCATTAAACAAATTACTCTGTTCATTTAATTGTCCTGCTAAATAATTGAAAACATAAAAATATCAACAAATTAACGTCCAAATAAAAATGCATGCGTACATTTTTTACGGTTTGTATGAATTTACATATACGTGATTATGTATGTACAAATAAAATAATAATTTACAATTAGAACATCATGTTAAATAATTTTAAAATTAAAGAGTTAATTTGATGAATTCTACACAAATGAACACGACAATTTTCATATTAGAAAGAAGATAATTATAAAACAATTGTTTGCGAATAATAAGGCTTACAATCAAAATATACACACGTCTGTTTAAAAATAATGAAATTGAGCTAAATCGATATGGCACTGACAAAGGCTGAATGATATTCAAATGTTGCCTGCTTACAAACACATTTCAAACTCAATTCAAACATTATTATGCAAATTATAACTAAACGTCCCATACACAAATTTTGAGCAGATTTAAAATGAGTCAATTGATAAAATTCAAACAAAAATTATGCTAAACTTAATAACAACGGATTAACAAAATTATACTTGAAAAAAAGATAGAAATATTACAATGCACTCGCGGCAAATTGTGCCCAACGACAAGTTTGATTATAAAACTTTAAATTTCAACTTCAGTTCGTTATCGGAAAAAATGTATCTAATTGTTTTCTGATTTAAAATGATGAGCGAACAATTTGAAGGAGGCATCAATTGAATTAACTTCGCTGTGGTTTGTGAGGCTGCTGCTCGATTTGTCCGCCTCCTCCTTCAACTCCTTCATGTCTGGAGGCGATAGGGACCGTGGAACCGTAGGAGAAGGCGAGGAAGACTGCTGACGATTGTCTGGAGACACGAGGGATTTGATTTGATTCAAAATTTCGGCATCGCTGACTGGATAGAGAAAACTGGAAGGATTGATTACGACGGGTTCGCTAGTTATCGAAGTTTGGACCACATTGGACAGAGAAGAAATGGACATTAGAGATGGAGACGATGGAGACGATGGAGGCATTTTCATCGCTGCGGAGTCTGTAGGAGATGAATTCGACTTGGGTAGAGGAGGAGAGTCACCTGTCAGTGGGTGCATGTCGGAGTGGTGGAGAGATGAATGGTGCGATCGATCGTCCATGAAAGGCTGTATGTTTGGCAAAATGATGGCGTTGATGCTGTTGTTGTTGCAGTCAACTTGATTCAGTGGGTTCTGGTGGTTGATTTGATTCACATTGTTATTAGTGCTGTTGCAAATACTGTTGTTGCCGTTAATATTCCCACCGAGATTGCAAACGGCGCTGTTGGTGTTCGAATTGTTTTGAGACAGGTCGGCTAGTCTAAGCAGATCGACCTGGTGTCTTGAAATGGACATGCCAACTTGGTGAGTGACGTATACAGGCGGTCCAGACGAGGTCATCATGTTTGCCATCGGATGGTCGTTGTGTATGCCTGGATGTGTTTTATTTCAATTTTATACAATCATCTGCTAAAACAAAATAAATTAAAAAATTGAAACCAACCTAAAAGCATTTCTTGTAACAAATTATCAACTTTCACCATCCCGTAAGTTTTGGCAAAATGAATGTGGTCGACCAGCTGATAGGTTATGCTTTGTAGGCAGGGTAGGAGGAGGAGGATCTCACCGAAACGACCTCTGGTGTCGTACTGCCGATCATTTATGTAGTCTTCCAAGTTGACTTGAACCTGGAATCGAATGGATTTGATTCGGCCTGGATCGCTTATCCCTTTCGCATCTTTCGTCGGAAAAAATTGTTTATTTTTAAAATCATTATTAAAAGCAGTAAAAAATATCTTATAATAAATAGTTGAGTTAAAAATCATCAAATCAGGTATAATGTTTTTTACGATGGTTTGCAACTACAGAGTTTTCATATCTTGAAAACGCTAAAAAAACACGGATAAAGTTTATTTGAGAATTATTGTGAATGCATTTTGGCTAAATAGAAACCTGGATCAAAGAAGACGATGGTCTTGAGGCAGGCAAGTTCCGTATCGTCAATCTGGACCTCCCTCAGAGGCTCAACGACTTCTTCGAAGATTCGTGAGGCCAACCGATTGATGTCAGGATCAGCTGTTTGTCTCGTGATGATGCAATCGTTGCCTAGCAACAGAACGTCATGAAACATCAGTGACCTCCTGGCCAGCGTCAGCAACAGGTGTTCGCCGGCGTGGGCTCTCAAAAGCGACACCTACAAAATATTTGCGGTTGTGAAATAATTTAAAAAAGAATAACAATATAAAAATTTATTCTGAGATAACTTTAATGCAAGTAAAATAAACTAAAATCCAAACTGAAAGATAAATAACCAAAATAAAAGATTTTTTATTTTGGTTATTTGTTGATACTTTAAACTTGTTTAATTAAACAAATTTAAATATTAAAAATGATTACAACTATATCAAATAACTTCTTAACTTTTTTATCTGATTGCATCGCATTTCCCCAAATGTGCGAGATGAATATTTTTAAAAAATTAAAAAAAACACGCGATAATAAGTAGAAATTAATTAAATAAGTAAATAGGAAAAATAGTTAAATACATAAATATTGAAAATAATTAAATATAAAGATACGGAAAACAATTAAACACGTAAATATGGAAAATAAATAAATAAATTATGTTAATTAAACTATCAATGAACCTGGTCATCAATCTGCAGCTCGCAGAAGCTCGGTATGTACTTGGCCCACTCTACTAGAACGAGGAGCTGCTGGTGGATGCTGTCGCAGATGTCGCTTATTGTGGCCACCTTCTTCTGGCCAATGTCCACGTTTGATAGGGGGTTGGATATCTGTGGAAATGTTTGAAAGGGCCTGCTTCTAAACTTTTTGTAAACTTGTTTATGATGCTACATGTGTAATTATATTAAGTAGGTAAATAAGTAAATTTTAGGATTTTTGTTTTAACGATCCTATGCTAAAGCAATTAATTAAAAATTATACATTTAGGTAATTTTTAATGCATTATTAATTAATTAATTCTTTCACTGGAATTTGCTGAAATTATAAAAAATTACAAACAAATGAACAAACAAACAAATAAAGAGACATATTAATAAACAAATAAAGAAACAAATACATAGATAAGTAATGAACCTGTCTGGATAGAAGTTCAGCATTGTGGAGTGCCGCCACATTCAGCGAACCGTTCTGTGTGACATCGTCGTACGAGGTTCGCCTCACGCTGATCCGATCTCTCTCGTTCTGGACGGCTGAATCAAAATTTCAAAACAGTTCATTTAACATCTTTTTTGCCAAGTGCCAACATTTTTACTTGTCAAAAGTTGAAGTAACAATTTGAATGCAGTAATAAACTGAATATTAAAATGTATAGAAGTATTTAAGCATTTGAAATTTCGAAAATTAGTTGAAAAATTAAGCCGATGTTTGTTTTAATAGCAGTTGATTAAAATGAGCGTGCTAGCTCAGCTCATCAGATGTTTTCAATTTAAATTGTTCATTGTAAATTTCTTCAATTCAAGCTGTTCGTTCGTTCTGAATGTTTTCAAAGGAGTGACGGAGAAATGGAGAACTTTTTTTTTGGATGAGTGCGAATGTTTGAAAGAGGCATACATTTTTAATGTGCATTTAAGATGAAAACTGTAATTTACAACGTTTTTTTAAAGAAAAATAGCACAAATTTCTTGTTAAAAAAAATAAAATAACTGAAGATACATTCGTCAAAAATTACAATTTCTTTTGTTTACTTTATCTTCTGCATTTGACGGTTTATTTCACTTCATCATGTCATTAACTCAAATTTTTTTGACAACAAGCGGATGGTACGAAAGGTTTTAAACTTCAATATATTAATCGGTCTGACAAAATGTGCATGTGATAGCTCTTCAAGTATTCATGTTGCTTTAATTTAAACTGTCACAAAATGAAAGAAGAAGTACTATACTCGTCACACCTCAGATTATAATTCACAGGAGAAAGAATGACTTCAAGTTTAGCATTATAATATTGCACTCATTATTTTGAAAAATTGAGTTCGTATATCATTCGTTACATTTATCGTTTGCTAATTTGCTTTCATCAAGAAAATTAATAAGCACCAGTGACAAATGAACAGAAATGAAAAAAATATTTTTTCTTATTTAAAACTGATGCCCTCTGACTTATAAAATAGTTAGAACACCGAAGAATTTGCAAATGTTTAGAGTCATAATTAATTTAACCTGCAGAACAACAAATTTATTAACTCAAATAATGCCACAGATAAACACAAGTGTAAATGGTGTCTTTAAGTGGCCTTAGGAGAAGAATTAGCATTACAGCGACATTATTTCAAAGTTGAATATTTTTATCCGTCATCTGTGTGCAAACATTTTCTAAAAGAAGACACTTATAGTGCTCTCTAAAACGTTTCATAAAACAAACGAGCACATAAATTAACCGAAGTATGATGTAGTTGAATAATAGTCAATTGCATAATGTTCACAGCTGTGTGAATAAGAGCATATGTGTCGGTTTTTTGTGGCAACTCCGTGAGTTTATCGAAACAACTCGTGGAACATAATCTCAAGAATCTTACTAAGCAATATTCTAAAAATGCATTATTTCTCGTAGGCTATCTTAAAAAATTTAACTTCAAAAGATTATTAAATATTTTCATTAAAAGTACATCGTACAGCTTACAGCGTATCAGTTACCCAGAAATACAATATATATTCAAATTTGAATTTGAATTTATTTGAAGGATGACCAAAAAAGATAAACTGGTGGATAGGCCAAAAAAAAATATACATATTAAAATCAATAAGAAAATCATTGGTGTTCATGGTGAAGCGTATATATAGAGATGTGTGTGTGTGTGTGTGTGTGAGTAGTGTGTATGTGTGTAATTAAAACGCTTAAGCATAAAATTGCGCTCCCACACACACTATATTATAACTATATAAATAAAATGAGAATAATACAATAGAACCTTCTTTCTTCATACCAGCCCTGAAGCACTTCCTCAGCCTGCAGTAGCGGCACTGGTTTCTCTTGTCCTTGTCCACCACGCAGTTCCTGTTAAAGCGACACGTGTACACGTGGTTCTTCCTGACGCTCCTTCTGAAGAATCCTTTGCAGCCGTCGCATGATGCCGCTCCGTAGTGCTTGCCGGTCGCTCGGTCCAAACAGATGGCGCAGAAGGGACTGACCGACGTTGGACTCATTTCTCCGATGGCCAATGCGTTGTTGTTGCTGCTGTTGTTGGTGCTGCTGATGTGCTGTTGTTGTTGTTGTTGCATTTGTTGTTGTATGTTTTCGTGTAGGTTGATCATAGGTGTCGCGTTGTGAACACCAACAAAACTCATGTTCAGCGTGCAATCTGCAAGGAAGGAATTTTATTTTTATTGAAATTGGCTTGAATATGAAAAGAATTGCAGTGAACATTTTTAACTTGATAAATAAAAAATTAAAATCAACGTTGATAATCTCAAAAGTAGCGCGAATGCGTAACTCATATTCATAATCAAACTGAAATTTCAAACAAAAATTTAAACAAAGAATAATAACAACATTCAAACAAATTTTTATTTTGAATCATAAAAAATTAAACTAATCATAAAATCATTTACTTTTTTTTGTAATTTAAAAGACATAAGCACTAATACGTTAACACAACTAACAAAAAACCACAACATGCCCGAATGATGTGCATCAAATAATTAAAAAAGAAAGTCTCAAAAGCATTACGACGCATACGGCATAGCTTTCAAGTTTACAAAATTTCCAATTATTTTGATGTTAAATATGAGATGAGAGGCTATAAAATCAAAAATTCGTTCATGAAGCAGTCTCAATCAAAGCAACTTAACATTACAATATAAATGCATACACACAAATGCTCACTCGCATAGAGTTATTATTTAATCAAATATAAGCAAATGATTTTAAATGATTTTTTTTGGTTATCTTTGAATCATTATATTTTAAAATAACAAAATTGCGGTCAAAAATAAATAAGTTTAGATAGTTTAATTATTTTATTGAAAAAAGTAGATATCAAATAAAAATGGATTATTGAATGTCGCGATTGTAAACAGCCTTAACTTTTGCGGTCACTGGAGACCCATGACTAAGAAAACAGATGATAATATAACAAACAAATAGTTTTTAGGACTAGGACATAAAATTCTATAATTTGAAATAACGTTAAAAATGCTCGTCAAATTTATTTCTTTCATTGAATGCATTGATATATATCTATGTATTTGTTAACTCTACACACACACACACACACACACACACACACACACACACACACACACACACACACACACACACACACACACACACACACACACACACACACACACACACACACACACACATACATACACACACACACACACGCACACACACATAATTGTACATGTACACGTTCCAATTGCTGAAGATCATCAAGCATTTCTAATAGAGGTACAGGTGAAAAGCATCTGGACGGTTGCTTCCTCGGCCAGTGGAAGGCTGGTCGTGGCATGGCTTGTGGTGATGTGATGACCATACTCGATACTTTGGCCGAACGCAAATTAATCTCCCATGTCAATCCAGTGGATCCATGACAAACGGCACAAAAATGTGTTCCACCATTCCTCAACATGGAATTTATACCATCTGCATAGAGGCATAGGTACTTTTGAACAACCCGCCAGTGACAGCCAATTCTGTTTTGAGTTTGTGCAGGTTGATCTGGATTCTGGATATGGTCTGGGGACGACAGGAAACATTTTTTGTGTCGTACTTTCTATTTTACACGTGAACGAGAATATAAAGTTGACTAAGAATAAGAATAATAAAATATAATATAAGAATAAGCCGCCAACACAACTTGACGACGGTGAAGCTGTACACCCGTTTTGGGTCACACACATAAATTAACACATGCATGTATAAATGCACACACGCATACAATCTATCAAAATATATATACACACCAACCACATACACCTATGTATCGAACAGTATTAAAAAGTAGCATTGAAATGAAGTGCATACATTTTTTCGCGTCCCAAAAAATTATGCAGAAATGTTTAGAAGCGTATTTTTTAATTAATTCGTTGGCACATCATTCTAGCGTGATGTGATAATAATTTATTCAACTATAGATATTGAAATGAATATTACTTATGATTTATTGTTTCTATGCACCCGTGATGTTTCAATACGCGCTATACACACTAATAAATAAATATAAAAACACATACACACACGCACACACATCTAGGCACTCACACAGTTGCATACACACACGCGCACACACATACAAACTTACACACATACCCACACATGCATACAAACACACATACATACACACGAATTTACACACATATATGTCGACAGGTTTTGCAACAATTGTAGCAATGGCATTGAATTGAGAGAAGTTTTAAATTTGGCGAACTCTTGATAAGTGGCTGATGTATGATTACATGATACTTCATCAAATGCTACCTTATCTAAAAACTTCTTAATCACAAAAATATTTAAAAAACAATTTTAACATAAATTTTAAAATATTCAAGTATCAATTCTCTACAAGTCATCATTCAAGTTTTAAAGAGTGCGATTAAAACTGAAAAAAGTGAGAGCATAATTATTTTTTGCTAAATTCATTAGATTAACGTTTCCTGTTGACAAACGTTAAGTTATTAATGCTAATTAGCCATCTACAACAACTTGATCGTAGGTATTAATCCATCATGATTGGCAATTTATAATCTGTAACTAACTAACTAACTAGCTAATAACTAGCTAACTAGATCATGCGTATCCATTACACTGCTCATTAACACGGCTTCGTTTTTTATTTCTAACTTCTAATACTTTCAACCTTTGATTCATAATTTCTGTCACTCTATATTTTATTATTCAGCATTTATTATCATCATTACCACTGAAGTTTTCATTTTTTTCTAAGATAAATTATTAGTATTAGTAGTAGTATTTGTAGCAGCAATAGTAGTAGTAGAAATATTAGAAGTAGTAGTAGCAGTAGCAGTAGTAGTATTAGTAGCAGTAGTGTATTTATAGTAGCAGAAGAAATAGTAGTAAGGCGACTTATTAATTTTTTGTGTTTTTTAAGGTCATTGGTGGGGTATGGAGGGAGTCGTAGATCGGGAGTGACGTGAAACAAATCCGTCAGAAACAAAACGGTCGGGAATGGGAGAGAGTCGTAAGTGGGAGGGTCGTTGAGAAAGAGTATCACTGTAATTATAATAAAAAATAATAATAATTTAATGCAATGGTTTAGAAAAAATTTATCCAGTTAATCATTTTCAGAGAGAATTGTTGATTAAAATGGTAAACGGATGAACTCTCAAACAAAGGAAAAAATTGTCACAAAATTTCAAGTTATTTACGCTTATTATCTATCTCTATCGTAACAAATAAAATGTTTCAGCCGAATAAATCATTTAATCCCGAAAGAATTTCTGAAAATTGTTGGAAAGGATGGAAGTGAAGTAGGTTGATCGTGCCAAACACGTGCTGAAAATAAACAACAGCGTGATTGGTTGTCAGTGTTTGTGTAAATATGACAGTTGGTGACCTTTGACTAGCGCAAATAATAATAATTCATGTCCTAGATTTAAAAATACGCTGCACATAAAAATCCGCACATGGGAGATCTTAGTTGATGCAATAAATTAACGACCGTGTGCCGTTCCACTCGGCCGTAATTTGTATACAATCAACTTTTAAATAAAGCTACTTGTCGATATAATTAAATTTCTATATTTTATTATTGTAGAAATATTTTCGTTTAAATATCAAAAAACTTTAAAGAAAATGGAAAGATTCACGTGCATACCTGGCGAGTAGTAGTCACTGTTATCCAATACGCAGTCAAAGTCAGATATTTTCATTATAGCTTGGTAAAAGTAACTTTTAATTTAGAAACTGAATATCCCAGTATGTTAAGTTCAACAGGAGTTCTACATACAGTTACAAACAAATAAACTTACACATCTTAAAAACATTATAAATTATATAAATATTATAAAAATACATAGGAAGTGGTTAAAACAGGGTTGAGATAGACTGAGTAGCAGGCATCGATCGTCAATTGATTTGATTTGAAATACTTCAAACTGAATAAATGAACACTCGATAATGAAATGTTCAGTCATTCTAGAAATAGTTTACTTTATATTTATAATATCAACGTGAAAAAAATGTACACACACATCAAGAGTATAAAAATATTCTTCTTCAACAGTTCTTAAATGACCAAGCCGTCAAAATCGTACAGGCGCTGTATGGATGCACGCACATGTACATACAGCGTACATACATAATTTTGACTCCAACCTATCTAAAAAGTTTCTTATATAAGAAGAAGTATGCTGCACACACACACATATACACAAATATATAAGTATATATATATATATATATATATGTACATATTTCTATATCTATATATATATCTATATATCTATATATATATATATCTATATATATCTGTATATATCAATTATTTATTTATATATTATATACTTGTATATATATTATTAAATATATAAGTGCATTTCTATATATATGTATAAGTATACATATATACATACAAATTCAATATATATATATATATATATATATATATATATATATATATATATATATATGTGTGTGTGTGTTTATATATCTATTCGAAATGAATTCTAAACCAAAATTTTTATTCATTTTAAGCATGATAAAACAAAAAAGCTTTTTTTGATATTCCTGTACCATCTTCGGTGTTCAAACGGATATGTTGTGTCTCTGTATATGTGACACATATACCGTGTCTCTGCAATGTTGATTCTTTGTTTAATTTGAATACTTAACGGTCATTTAATTAGTCATCAATATTACGATCTTAAACTTGTTTCTAAATTTATTAGTGGAAAGGATTCCAATTGCACGTTGTTTGATATGCATTATCGGATGTTTTTGTTCTATGAGTATTGATTCGGCTAATCGTAAATTATAATTGTTTGTTATTGTAATGTAAAATTTTAACATTGTTGTACAAGATTAATCTTGGACCAATCTACCATTACAATAATGATGATGCAGCCGGATTCATTCAATTGATTCCCGCATTTCACATGCAATGTGTGTGTGTGTGTGTGTGTGTTGAAGAAAGAATGGTAATAAATTAATTAATTAATTAATTGACATCGTTGATTAACAT